TATCATCATCGTTGCCATGGACGCACTCTGAATCAATGTCTTCACCGAACATTCTATGATGGTCTCCAAGTTCCCTTCCTGAGGAGCAGCACTACCACAATAAATCTGTCTTGCAAGGCTAACATCCCACCTCCCTACTTTGAAATCTGCCATTTGGGACCCCCTCACCTGACCTCGTAAGTTTTTTTTGATAGTGTATGGCTACCTGGTAAACGATGAGACGTCACAGGATACACAGCCTCTCGGGTTATTTGTATTGTCAAATAAGGCCAGTCTACACCCCGGTCCCAGGGAACCCCATACTCTACAGCTCACACTCCTCCCTTCAGAGTGACTGCTTATTTCTATCCTGTGTTTTCTATGTACTCCAAGTATCATTTCTGAAAAATAATTTTCAAGTGATTTTGAAACTCTTTAAGTCTGACCACTGATGATGTTGCTGACTGACAACTCAAAACTCTCTGGTGATCAGAAATGATGTTGTTCCCCTAATCCTCCAAGGTCCTTTTGAAGGGAGTTGTACCCTTTTCCAGAGTCTAATAAAGGACGTGTTCCCATTCTGCATTTCTTGGGGTTTCCAGGTTTCTTGAACTCATACTGGCCTCTGGCCAGTCTTATGACACAGTACCCTTTGTAATGGTCCAAGTTACACATATTTGTCAATAGTTTAGTAATTTTACATTCAAGCTTTCAAAACTCTTGCGTGGGTCCCATCCTAGTCCAATTAAATAGCTGGCTTGTTAATTTAGGTTCATTTAGTAAAACATACCTCATGTAGTAGATATGGACTGACTGAAATAATCTAAGAAGAACATTGCTAACATCTGCATGAAAGAATAATCCATACAATTTATTTAGACTCTAATTTTTTCTTTAAAGTCTCTTTCCTTCCTTCTTTCCTTCTTTCCTTCCTTCCTTCCTTCCTTCCTTCCTTCCTTCCTTCCTTCCTTCCTTCCTTTTCTTCTTTCTCTCCTTTTTTCACAAATTTGTTTCAGGTGACATTGGTTAATGACTTCCCTTTCCCTGAGAGCCTTCCCTCCTTAGTCTCTATGACTCAATCCCTGTTCTCCAGGTCTTTCAAGTTTTCCTTTTGATTTCAAGTCATCAAAGCGCTAATACAATCTCTCGTCAGCCCATACTCACCCGATCACGTCCACCTTTAGCTAGGGACACATTGGCAACAGGGAAGGAGCAGAGTAAGGAGGCAGAGGGATCACAGTCAGTCCTAAATGAGAATGAGGATGACACTAAGTTATGGAGTCTTCCTTACCTGTCCGTACCCCACCTTGGCCCCTAGTGCTCCTTCCTGTCCCCCATCCCTTTTCCCAGAACAGGTACCCTTCTCTGTTACACGGATGGAGCAGAAATGCAGCCAGCAAGATTCCACTGATTGATTCATGCTCTCCTTGCTACTCCAGCTTATTTCCTCTCATAGAACAGATATTCTTAAATGGGAATCTACAGATGCGTAGTTGAAAAGTTTCAGACATAAGTGTTTCTCACTTGGGGAGCTTGATAAAAATGCAGATTCCTGGGTCCCAACCCCAGATTCTGATTCAGTTGTTCTGGTCTGGGGCCTACTTGGAGACAACTCCACCAGAGGGATCCACAGATGGTCTTTAAGAGGCTCATGAGCCCCCTCAAGTTGTAGGCAAAGTTGTACATGGACGTGTATGTGCAGGACATTCTCGGGCACGTAGACAATTTCATGGCAGGAAGAGCCATAGCTTCCGGGAGATCGGTACCTCCTAAAAGTTTAAGCAGCTCTGCTTTAGAAATTACAGCTCATGACCAGAGACTCGGGACAAGGAAAAACTACCTTGGACCATCGATAAAGCCCTTATTGGCATCTCTTGATTGGTCCTATAGCCACTGTTAATACAAAAGGAGAGAATTTGGCAGGGTCTGTAAAATGGGAAGGCGCAGGACTCTGGAGTTTACATATCAAGCACCCTGTGTTTCCATAATCTCTTCTGTGCAGTAGACGATCAGGAATGGAAGTAACGTAAAAGGCAAAGTGCTGCTTTCCTGATATTTCCTCTCGTAAAAGCAAGGTTAGTTCTGAGAACACCCAAGGGGCTGGCTTGTTTCAAAAGTCTACTTTGGCCCTGAGAGAGGTCTGATGGAACCTAAATAGAACTGACACTTGTAATGACAGTCCAGAAGGGGAATTTTTTAAAGAAATTCTTTTAACCAGAGGTAGAACTAGATCCTAGAGCTCTACCAGTCCAGACCTGCTTTTTAGCCTTGGGCTGTTGAATAGTAAGATATTATATGAGCGCACTGGGTCCAAGTTTCTTCCTCCGTAAATGAGGTGGTTGAACTGAATAAGCCCTATGGGACCTTGCAACAATTTTCCCACAGATTCCTCTGCTGTGATGGAAGACCCCTCTCACCTGTAGTGGAAATGCACGGGGCTAAGGTGGCTGACTGTCGGCATGTAGGAATAGTAGAAGGAGCCATAGAGGAAAACAGACACCCAGAGCAGGAGGAGGATGGTACAGAAGAGCACCCCAAACTGCAGCAGCAGCTTGCGGGCACGGCCTGCCAAGACATGGCCCACCTCCTGGGCCCATAGCAAGGCAGGTACTGGTGGGTCATTGACCACGACAGGGGGCGCAGCGGGTCTGGCCCCGGGTTCAGGCTTTGAGTTCCGAGCTGATTTGCCACCTGGACGCCATCCCTGGCCATGCGACGAAGCAGTGGGTGGTTCCTGGAAAAAGACAGAGGAGGAAAGAGTAGCTTCTTTCTGGGGGTAGGTGGGGTGACTATTACCGGGCTGGATTTGAGGAACCAGAGATAGCAGAGTCTTTGTTTCATATGGCCATTCTCCAAATGACTGTGTTTCTCAGCCAACTATCCCTTCCCTTTCCTCCACTGCGCTCTGTTCGCCCCCAGTGCCAGAGCTCCTCAGTTGAACTGGCCCTCCGGCCACCTGATTCTGGGACAGGCCACCTTGGTACTCATTCACAGCAATACAAAACATACAGAGGACGAGCGCCTTAAAATTCTCAAGCAGCTTTTACACATACGATGACACTGAATCCACACTGCGAGGTGGCTGCACTGAAAGAAAGCGCGACGTGACGTGTGTCTCAAGTTGCACAGCCAGACTCAAAGACAGACTCCGATGCGCAGTCACAACTGCCTCCCGAGTGTCTCCTCTCCTCCCGGAGCTGCACTCGCTCTCTGACCAGCCTGCGCCAAGCCACAGGCAGGGCGTCCTGTAGACTATGGCTGCTCCCCCCCAACCCCCTACGGCTCCCCGGTGGGCGCGGCGCCCGGAGCCCCTATTTAATCATTCTGCGGTCGAAAAAATCAGTAAGCCGGATACAAGGCTCTGCAGACTCACCAGCATCACGCGCTGCCTGGGGCAACGGTGAGAGGGATTTCCGCCTCCTGGGCACGCCCCGCCCTCTTCCACCGACAGCCAATGTAGCCCTGGGGCGGGGCCTCATCGAGGGGAGGGGCCGACAGTGGGCGGGGCTAGATCCAAGGGGCGGGGCTGTTCTGAGTGCGGAGCTCCCACCTCCGTGCGCTCCTCACTGTTCCTCCCCCACGGTCTGAGTCTGTCATCCTCCGGTTACCGTGACCAAAGGGGACAGGCGCCTCCCTCCAAGACCCAAGATATTCCCAGGGCATGCTATGAGTCAGCAGCATCCCCCTCGGCCCGCCTCTCGAGGTCGCTATCCAGCCCGCCCACACCTTCACCACCGGCCATTTAACACTCAAAAAGGGGGAGAGAGGAGGGCGCCCAGCTGGCGCTGACTTTGTCGCCCACAGCCCTTTGGGCCGGTAGGCGTCCGAGAGAGACAGCGTTCGCCCCGAGAACACTGCAGTCTGCAGGAACCTGTGAATCTTGCGCGTTGCGCCCGCGCTCTGGCTGTCCCGCTCTGGCTGTCCCGTATGCACGAGCACTTCAGCCTGGTGTTTTTCCTCTAGCTTTGGCGGTGCGTGATCGACCTCCTCTGACCCTAACTAGACGGTCCTTCAGAGTCCGCACAGCGCATTATCTAGGCGAGGTCTTGGAAGGCTGCACCTTCTATTTTTGTATGTCTCTGTTCGCCCCAAATAAGAGCTCTCAGAGGTGCCCTGTCCGGGTGGCTCGCTGGCTGGGGCACCTTCCAGTACACCAGAACGGTTGCGCGTTCCGTCCCGGGTGGGGGCGCACGCAGAGGCAGCTGACTGATGTTTCATGTCCATGCTTCTCTCTCTCTCTCCCCTCCCATCTCACATCAATGCTTCTCCCCCCCCCAACCCCTTAGTCTCTCTAAAATAAATTTTTTAAAAAATTTAAAAAATTTGAAAATCATTTAAAGAGCTCTCCAAGGGTCAGGTCAGTGTTGTGGGCATCTTTGCATCTCCCACAGCACCAAGCACAATGATGCTCTTAGAGCAATACCCCCCAGTCCCCATCCCAAAGCCCATCTATTTCCAAGAAACACCCACGGGCTCTCCCCACAATGCACCCTACCTCTTCTTTGTCCGCTTCTTTGATCTGGTCTCTGCATGCCTCTTTCCCCCCAGGTTCTTCTCGTTGGTCTGCCATTTCTTTAGACATGTTCCTGATGTACCTCGCTGCCCCCAGGTCTTGCACTCGAATCACTTGTGGCTAGAACATGAAGTGGAGATCCAGAAGCGGATACCTGTAGCTCATCACATCTTCCTGGATATGGGGAACGGAGGGTCCCTGGGAGAGAAACGAAGATTCACGTGATAAATGCTGTGTCAGAGTAGAGGGAGGAGGGGGATGATGGGGGCGCCTGCCCAGCTGATGTCAGACTTTCAAATGAGCAGGGCACCCCGCAGCCAGAACGGCCTCCACTGCAGGGGCTGTCACAGGTCCAGACCACCCCGTTTGCGGGGGAAGCCTGCCTGGGCGTCAGCTCCTCTGGAGAGGGCTCCAGGCCATACTCAGAGCTCCTGCCACAGGGGAGGGGCAGGTACTGAGACAGTAACAGTGGGAGTGTGCACAGGGGCTGCAGGCAGCAGCCAGGCTCCCCCACTGGCCAGGCAGTTGGTATGCTCCAGGATCTGAACAGCTCCTTCTAGCATCCTTCATCTGCAGGTACCAGCTGTCTGGGCAGTGCCTGAGCTGCAGAAACTGGGGCCAGCCCTCGACAGACCACTGACCCAACCCACCCAGTGGCCTTCTCTGTATTTGCAGCTTCTGCTGCTGCGTCAGACCCTTTCAGCTGCAACTCCCTGCAAGGTGGGGCACCCATCTCAGGCAGAAGGCTTTGGTGCACCCCACGGACTCTGCTCCCCAGGGCTTCAGCTGCCTGTGGCCTCAGGTGAGTCAGGAGCATCTTGCTTTTCCCCATTGGGGCTCAAGGGGGCAGGTGGGGATTCCGTACCCTCCCCATGAGGGCGGGGCTCCTTCTGGTGGAGGCTTTCAGAGCTGGGAACACATGGCTTGATGGCTGAAAAGCCTTACATCATTTGTTCGTTTAATGATCCGTGGCCTAGACCCTGTGGGAGTTTGGGAAGCATCTCATTCCACCCTCTCTATTTCCTCAGCCGAGGAAGACAGGGATGGGGAAGGCCACCGAGGACGGGAATAAGGGAACAAAATATTGGGGCACATGACCCCAGGCTTTAAATGCTGGGTGAGTGAGCATGGAGGGGTCCTTCAGCTGAGATTGCTCTGAGCTGTCCCTCTCTTTTCTCCAGGATGAAAGGGGAGACCCCTGTGAACAGCACTATGAGTATTGGGCAAGCCCGCAAGATGGTGGAACAGCTTAAGATTGAGGCCAGTTTATGCAGGATAAAGGTGGGTGGGGCCCTAGGCCCCATTAGTTGGCCTGACTATGCTGTAGGTTCCCAAACATCAGGATACAAGATGCTTTTTTCCTCCTGCTTCGCCCCTGAGATCAGGGAAGGAGACCCGGGCTCTATAAGAAGAGGTGTCCGCAGGCCTCTGTGGGGGATGAGGGACGGGAAGACAGTCTAAAGGGAAGGGAGGCTGCAGTCCCCTTCGGAGGTTCTGGCTGGCTCATGACTCCCCACTGGTTGTGCCCCAGGTGTCCAAGGCAGCAGCAGACCTGATGACTTACTGTGATGCCCACGCCTGTGAGGATCCCCTCATCACCCCGGTGCCCACTTCGGAGAACCCCTTCCGGGAGAAGAAGTTCTTCTGTGCCCTCCTCTGAGCGGCCAGGTCCCTCTCACACCCCACCTTTCCCTCTCCTGAGCCCTTCCTTAGGTCAGTAACCGCCGTCAGCCCTTGAGGGTCCCTTGCATACCCTTCCTGGCCCTTGCCCAAACCTGCGAGGTTATCTGAAGCACAAGGCCCTCCCTCACCTGTCTGTCGCCCCCATTTCCACGGCCACAGGGGCACCCTTTGCCCCTCCCACGAGAGGGCCATCAGACTCTGCCAGCGTCCTGCCCGCTTCCCTCTGTGACCCGCTCACACAATGGAGAGAGGGATGGGCTGGGTGCTTGCTCCCAGTCTCACCTGGAGCTATTGGAAGGGTAAAGCCATTTGAAGAATAAAGTCATCCATAGTCTCAGAGGTACAGCTCCTGTGTTATCGTTCTTGGGGGAGAGGATCATCAGTCATTAGATGTGGGTGTGGGTGTGGGTGTGGCAGTTGAAAGGCTGCCACAGGGAACAAGGCCAGTCAAAGCAGGTTAGACAGTGTCTAGGATTGGAGATCGGTGGGGTTGGGGGCGGAAGGCAGGCGCGAGAGAGCGTCCCAAGTGGAAGGATTGTTACAACAGACACTCAAGAGGCTACAGAGAGCGCGCGCGCACGCGCGCACACAGGCACACGCACGCACACACACAGGCACACGAGGGCAGTGAACAATGAAGGCAAGTGAAACTGAAAACAGACCGAACGGAGTGGATTTAGGGAGGAATTCGGGGGTGCAGCCGCGGGAAAGAGGAACCCAGGACCGAAGGGGAGGAGGAGCTCAATTCCAGTTCCTGGGAAGGGGCCGGTCTTACTTCTAAGATGGCCGCGCCCACAGCGGGCCCTTTTCCAAGATGGCCGCCGCCGTGGGACCTGCGCCAATATGGCAGCTCCACGTCACTGCGTTTCACCGTACAGGGATTCTCCACCAACCCCAATCTTAAAATGGCGGCCCCGGGCAGCTAGAGTTCTCAATATGGTCCCTTCCGTACTCGCCTGATCTGTCTCAAAATGGCTGCCCCTGCCCTCGCCGACTGGATACCCACTCCTACACCCCGCCGCCCTCAGAGTCTGGAAGACGACGTCCCCACGATCTAAGTGAAGGCACACGGGAGGCTACAGCCTAGGATCATGGGACCGGAGACCTCAGCAAGCCCTGTGTAGCAGGCTCTGGTCGCGTGCATCTCGCGAGGAGGCAGTCTAGGTTTCTACATCGCGGAACAGAGGCTCCCTTTGGAGCATTAACAGAAGGGTGCCGTCAATACCGGCGCCGTTCATCTCCGCGTGCCCTTCCGCGGTTACCCTCTGGTCTCCCTGGGAGTCGGATAAACGCGAGGGTTTTATGCGGGAACTGGCGTTTGCCCTGCTCCCACCTCCCCCTCAGGCCTATTTGCAAGAAGCCATTTCCCGCCCCCAGTGTGCTTACCACTCCTGATCTAAAACTGAATGTTTCGCAGTCCCCTGGGGACTCAAACCTGGCAGGTTTATAAGCCCCAAAATGCCTTTCTAGAAGCCTTTTCCTTCCAAGGGTGAACCTGCTGAGGTGGGACCAGGGTCAAGGCAGAGAAGGTTGACAGTCCCAGGATGTTTGCTCGGCACAGACCGGTCAAGACCCCCAAAGCCAGGGATACACCCTTCCCAGGGGAAGCGCAGGCCAGCTCACGTCTGTGCCTGGATCCCTTCGGCAAGGGGATGGCTCTAGTAAGAGGAAGGCGACCTGCAGCACGGGCAGCCCGTCACCGGGCTCCCCCGCACCTTCACACAGGCAGGCAAGGGGAGAGGAACGCCGAGGACACCGGGACGGCACCCAGGCTGCGTTCCTGCAGCAGGAACGCCACCCGAGTCTGCGCGGGAGCCGCCTTGGCTCCCTCTCGGTGCCCCGTGAAACCCCCGCATCCTGGCAGCGCCTGGCGCACAGCTGGCCCTCACACACCCTCCGAGTGGGTTGCGCTGCACATGCCTAAACGGCAAGCAGGGCAGAGCAGACCCGGAGAACCTGTCTCTGTTCCTGCTAGTTGACAGCGCTTGGCCTAAGTGAGAATTTCCACATCAGCTCAGACTTGGTAAGAAGCCAGAAGTCAGAAGTGCTTAATAAATGTAATCTTAAGAAAGAGAGAGAGATACATATGTAATTAAAGCCTCTGCTCAATTTTTCTGCATACTCAACTTGCATACTGTTGCAGCCCTAGTTGGGGAAAACGGGGGCTTAAGAGACAAGGCATGAGCTATAAACACCTATTAAAAGTGATTAATTAGCTGTAACACGGAGTAACCCTAAAGTATCCTAGACCAGGGGCAGACGCTGAAATCAAGGGCAGCCCTCAGGGTACAAGCTGTGTAAGCCCTGGGGTCTGAATCTGTGCCATGCAGAGAAGGGAAAGGTTAGAGCAGCACCTAGACCTCCACCGCTTTCCTTCAAAACATCCAGTTGCCGTGGGCCCGTGGCACCCCAGCCTCCTCCGTAAGTACCTGACCATTTATGAGAAAGTACAATTAGAATGTTAGTGCTAGGAACACAATGGTGCTTTTAATAATTAGTTACCTTCTCATTCTCCAAATTCATCAGCAAATAACCCCCATCAAACATCCTCTGTTGAATGAGTAGGCTTTTCCTCCTAAGTGGTAATTACTCAGGAATAAACTTATTGAGCTCCTGAAGAGAACTTTACACTTCACTTCAAGCATCCAACTGGTTTCAGGCCACGGGCACAGGGGTCATGACATAATGTATTTCCGTCTATCCCAAGGGCTCCGCTTTCAGCACAAGCAAGCACTGAGGAGTCCCAGCCCCCAGGGGCAGGCACGGTGGGTACCAAGTGCCGTCATGGTAGAGCAGGGAGGGAACGGCGGCCGTGCAAGAGGAAAGCCAGCCTTGGTCGGACCCGGTGTGACTTGAAGCAGCATCAAAAGTCAGTACATCAATCCCCCAGATGACACCCTCCGCCCCAGTCAGAGCAGCCACAGGAGATAAGAGTGAATTCAGTCCAAATGGTTATTTATTCTAAAACTGGAAGCTACTGTGCCTACATATTCGCCAGAATGTTGTAATGAGAACATGGGAGGAAAAAGTTACAGATGTAAACAATGACACAGTTACATTTTTTTAAAAAATGGTAAAACCCTTTTTTACTGGCCACTTCCGAGAATGCTTTACAGGTTGTGCAAAAACATGTACAGGCTCCATGTGATGTTTGTTTTTCTCACAAGCTTTCCCCATCTACAACAACTACAACAGACGTCTGATAAAACACGAAACAAGTCTTCTAAGGAAAACAAGGCTAGGGATCTCTCCTGCTAATCCACATTTGTCCCCTTAACATTGTTTTTTTTTTAATAAGGAAAAGACAAACAAAACCCCAGACATCTACGTTGTTGCGAGGATCTCTTGGACTCCACCAACAAGGACGTGGCAGTTTCTATCCACCCACCTAGGAAAACAGCTTTTTTGGTTGTTGTTGTTAAAAAAAAAAAAAAAGACTTTCTAGTGTCAATATTTAACAGCAGGTACCTCCCCTAACCCTCTTCCCCTCCCAAGAAACCCAAAGCGGCACAGGGTCTGTCCCCTGACCCTGAGGGCCTAGCATCCCCAAGCCGTGTCCTAGGCTGCAAAAGGGCGCTAGGTGCTGGCGGACTGAACGTCTGAACGGGGTGGCAGTTTCTGCCTCAAATTCAATGTTCTATTGTAACATGATCTTGCCCTAAGAGAACTCCTTTGGGCTCCGGTTTTTACCTCCCTGCCCTGGTACTATCAGCAAAGCTTCTCAAAAACTCCCTTAATAATAATAAAAAGTTAGTGGGTTACAGAAAAGTTCATGCAATCACTTCACCCACTGCCACACACAAATCCACTGGACGGCACCACAAGAAAGCAGGCGCCCAGAGAAGAGACATCATTATGAGCAAGCAAACTTATTCCCTATCAGCCCCCTATTCCAGCCTCGGCGCTGGAGGTGCGCGTGGGGCAGAAGGGTGTGTCACAGGCAGGGCAACTGGGGGCCAGAGCGAGCGCCTGCGGGCCGAGAAGGGCTGCATGGCGGTCACAGCGGGAGAGGGGGAGGGAGATCGAATCTCAGCACAAAGTTTTTCAACAGAGAACTGCCCAGGTGAGGAAATGGAAGCGAAGCACGTTCTAGTAGCACAACCCAGGTCTTCCCTCACTAGGAAGCGCTGCAGTAGGTGGTATCTGCTGAGTAAGCTCTTGGCCGACTCAGTGCTTAGCAGGAAGATGAACTAAAACTGAAGCTAAGTATTTAAAGAACATTCCCAAATCCCACCCATATCCTTGGACCCAGCCACCGGAAGCTGTTTGTCAAGAACTGGGAGGGTGTTGGTAAAGTTACAAAGACCATCCCAAGTGAAGTCTCTTGGCTAGAGGCCTCTCGGAGGACACGCAGGGGAAGCACCCCAGGAGGAATCCTGTTTCTAGAAGTCGGGAAGGGGTGCTCCCTTTCATGCACACGTTGCACACACATTCACGCTCTTCCCAAGTTGCAGCAGCCCCGCTGAGCTGCCTCCCACCCCCCACCCTCCCCTTTCTATTCGCTTTCTACCTGTGTATCAAAAAGACCAGCAGGGCGCGTGCCCTCCATACTGTATAAAATAGTTGCTATTCTCAGCACCTGGGCCTGGCAGCCCACACCACAGGATTCACCTATATACATATCCTGCTGCCATGAAAAGAATCCTGCTTCATTCCCGTGTGAGCTGAAACCCTGAGAAACGTTCCTTCTCTCGCACGCTAAGAGGACAGACACTCTGACAGAGATGATTGCAGAGACTTCACGCTCTCTCAACCTTGGAAGACAGAGAGGGCAGACTGGCGAGCACAGTCTCCAGGCGGGGCCAGCAACCCCACTCTCCCCCAGGACTCTACGGGAATTCATGGACGGGCACACAGAGGGTACCAGCTATTCTGCTCCGCCAACAGGGACGGTCCCCCTGCTTCCTTAGCCTGGGAACCCTATGTGATAAAACCGTCCAACTGGTAGTCTCCAGGCCTCAGCCAAACAGCACAAAGGCACAGGAAAGTGGAGACAATGCCACTTTGGCCTCCCAGCCCACCAGACCAGATATCCCAAGAGGGAAAGGTCGGTTAAAAAAAAAAAAATACAAACGGTTAGTGGTGCAAGTGATTGATAAGAGCCAATCGTTTATTTTCACTGCCCCAGTCACAAGCTCTCCCTCTGCCCCCACTCCTGCCTGCTACGGAGAGTGCCCTCACAGGCCTGCCCACCCTCTCCGCACACCTCATCACTCTCCCCCACGCGGCTGCCAGTCCAGCTGCCTTACAATGTCAGAGGGTGACATTTT